TGTTTTTAGCGGATATGTAGCCAAGNTTCACTTCTAGTCCGAAAAATATTTACGTTATGTTTTATGTACAGCAAACATTGCAGTATCTACATTGATACATTGATGTAGATACTTTTTTAATATTTTATTATTTTTAATAAGTCTCCTTAACTAAATGTCGACATGTTTGTCTAATCCTATTACATAAATCTTAATTAAAAAAATTTTTATGTGTTTTGTGGGATTTTATGTGATCGAATAATAGGGCCCTTCTTTTTTAACGTTAATCTATACCTTTGACTATATACACTTATAGTCAAGGTCTATACGCAGAGAATTTTTTAACTTTTTTAAATAATGATTTCTGGAATTTACATGCATTTCCTCTTCATCTATATAAGACAGAATCTCTACCTTCAACTAGATGGAGCACCTATTCATAATGCGGTAATGGTTGCATGAGAATTTCCCGAGAAAGTGGATAGGTCACGACAAACAGAACTAACGGTTGAGTGGCCGTCAAGAGCTTCAGACTGGACGCCTCTTGATTTATTTTTATGTGGAACTGTGAAAAATAAATTGTATAAAACAAGGCCCCAGGACAGAGAAGATTTATGTAACAGAATTAGACAAGCATGTTGGCAAATAACACCACATCAGTTGAGGAGAGTTATTAGAAACAAGAGGAGACGAATTGAACAGTGCATATCAAATGATGGTGGACTAATAGAAAACAGTAATATTTAAGTTTTATTTCGTTGTGAAACTCATTTCTGATATAATAAAATAATATATCTTATTGTGAGCGCCCTGTATGAGTGAAATCAATGAAATCACATGGATATATCCTCGGTTAAAAAGATTATGAAAACTATCAAATACCTTGAAAATATTTCCACTGTTAATACAGGACATTCTGCAATGAGTGAAATTTTTCGAAGTTTACACCTATTTTGTGTGTGTTTTGAGGTGTGATCAAATCGAAAATGCTATCCATTTCGTTCTTAAAAATGCCTAATACGTTTTTTAATTTTTGAGGGTCTTTTCTTAACGATAGTAGGCTGTAGAAAATATCACATGTCAAAAAACATAATATCAAGAAGTAGGCTTTTTTGAGTACTACCATATAAAAAAAAAGAATTTTAGAAATCGGCCAACGCCATCCTAAATACGGAGGTATACCGACTTTAAGTGAAACACACTGTATATATATTTTTTATATGATAGTGGACTATCAAATATCCGTAAAATTTGTTTGTTAAATATAGTTTGAAGACGTAATTTTGGCGTCACGACAGAGTAAATAATTTGTGGTAAGTAAATTTTGATGACATGCTGAAAAAGCATTGAAAATTAGAAAAATGTTATTTATTTCCGTTTTACATTTATTATTTAGAAATGGCTCCCGAGAGCATTAAAAAATCTAGGTGAACCAACAGAACAATGTAGTACTTTATACTTTATATCATATATTCACAAAGAGAGTGGAGCAAAGAGTGTTCAAAGTTAAACAACGTAAGAATTGACAATCTTACAGTTTTTGACATAAATATAAAACACACCACAGAAATGAGACAACCCCAAATCCAAAGGTGTGGAAGGGGACTACATTTGAAAAGACCCATTATCCATCGTCATTGCCAGTGCCGACGCCAGAGATCGAACCCGGACCAGAATAGGAANTCTTTTTTTCGATGAGGAATCACCCCCTTAAATGTTTTACACTTATTTAGTTACACCCTGTATAGTGTGTTTCACTTAAAGTCGGAACACCCGGATATTTAGGAAAGCGTTGGCGGATTTCAAAAATTATTTTTTTTTATGTGATAGTTAAAAGGCCTACTCTTTGATATTATATTTTTTGACATATGATCTTTTCTATAGCCTAAGAAAAGACCATCAAAAATTAAAAACATATTGGGCATTTTTTTTAGAAAGAAATGGATAGCATTTTCGAGTTTATCACACCTCAAAACTCTGAATACAAAGTTTCATTATTATAGCTTTTACAGGGTATTCACAAAATAGGTGCAAACTTCGAAAAATTTCACTCATTGCAGAATTTCCTGCATTAACAGTGGAAAATATTTTTCCAGAACTTTATTAACAGAAGGTATATCTATGCAGTTTCATTAATATGTCTCATACAGGGTATTTACAATAAGACAACCACATTATATATTTCTTTTATTATATCAGAAATTAGTTTCACAACGAAATAATAGGTATTTAAATATTACTGTTTTCTATTAGACCACCATCATAGGGTATGCACTGTTTAATCCGTCTCCTCTTATTTATTTATTTATAACTATTAATGTTATTACACAAAGTGTTTACACACGACAAAACCAGGAAATTATTCCACTAAGTACATCATATTATAATAAAATTATTATTGAAAAACATGTAAGAGTGTATAAGACAACATAATAGTATACAAACAAAAGTAAAATATCAATATTACAATATCATATAGGGAATAATACAAGTAAATGATTTAAAATGAGATAAAAATTATATAAATTAAAATACAAGATTAATATAAAAGTAATACAATTAGAAAAGAACGATAAATTAAATATGGCTAAAATCACTTGTTAAAAACTGTTCAATGTTATAAAAAGCATTTTGTAAAAGATAATTTTTCATTTTGCTTTTAAATTGCTTATAATTCCAATTTCTCACATGCAATGGGATAACATTAAAAAGATGTACACCAATGTAACCCGTTCTTGTTTTACTCAATATCAAAAAAATTACTGAAAGGTTATCCTTAGATCTAACATTATATGAGTGTGAACTTCACTTCTAGTCCGAAAAATATTTACGTTATGTTTTATGTACAGCAAACAGAATTGCAATCAACTGCTTGATGTCTAAGGGATCCTTAGTAGATTTTCGCATATTAAGAAACTGAGAAACTTAAAAATTTCAACATGTGAAATCTCAACGAAAAAACAAGATATTTGAGCAGCAAACTCAACGACATTCGAAGGAGGCACCCTTGTACTTTTAGATTCAATGTATTAGTTTTTTGAAAAAGAATAGATGACATTACTATATAACCTCAAATATGGCGAAAAACAGTGTTTTTTGCACTTTTAGGTTAGGATATCTCAAAAACCTGCAATTCTGCTGCCAGATTCGGAACCAGCGCACCTAAATCCTTCGGAAATATATATTCAAGTTTCTGCTTCCAAAAAAAAGTTAAATTTTGTTAGGTCTGTGTAATGCATTTAAAATGTATCAAGAAGTTTCGAAAATTCTAAGTAGCCGTGGAGTTATATTATGTGAATGGGCTTCGAACGAAATGGCAATTTTAAGACAAAAATGAGATCACGAAAATGATTCATAATACTTGATAACTGGTAGCACTATTCATAAAACTTTAGGTTTACAGTGGCATGGACACTTTTAATTTTATCATAAATTCGCACACGGTCAATGACAAAATCACTAAGAGAAGCATTCTTTCTACGAGATTTCAAATATTTGACCCAATGGATTTGATAGGTTCAGTCACGATTAAAGCTAAAATTATTTTGCAACGTTTATGGCAATTAAAGATAGATTGGGATGATTTAGTTCCATCTTCTTTAGAAACCGAGTTTATGCATTTCAAAAGTCGATTCCTAGACAAGTATTTTATCTAATTCAATTTTTATTGAATTGCACGCTTTTAGTGACACATCATAACATTTACTACGCACAAAATCTCAATTACCACTACTTAAAGCCTCATTTTGAACTTTTCGGAGCTTTTCTGCTAGCTCAATTACCAAAAAAGGCAGAAAACAACGAACCCAAAATAAATGCAAGTTATTAAAAAAAAATTAAATGCCTACGGCATATCTGGTAAAGAATAGATTATATCTAAAAGGTACCTTTCTGGACTGAAAATAAAATGATTTAATTAGTTACTTTAGTGCATGAATTTTATGATAAAAAAGTTATGGAGTATATACCTTTAAGATATTAGTTTTGTTTCCTTTTTTTTGTTAGGATAAATTCGTATTAAGTGGATTTCATATTTCTAATATATTAAGAACAGAAAATAATATCTAATTTCAAAAAATTAATTTTATTGATGATAATTCGTGTAGCAAAATTTATATCGATCTCTAAAGTGGTTCCAGAGAACAGAATCCCATTCTTAGTGGCCACCTTTGAACGAGCACAGATAACACATTCTAGGACCTACGTTCGTATAAACTTTTTCATATCCTCCTGCATAAAGATGTACATTAACAGCAAAGAAACGCATTAACTGTATTGTAATAAATAAAGACATGAACTAAAAGTGAAACAATTTCATAGCACGTTGCACAGAGATTCCTACAATTAACTTTCGCTTTTAAAACTTTTGTAAATAGATAGATATAATTTGTAGTAAATAATTTCCAAATAATTGATACACACTCGGTGCCTCTTAATACATTTATTTAAAGGAATATAAAATTTAGAATATTTAATGAGGTCAAGAAGTATACGAGTATACCCTTCTTTTATGTGGGCAGTAGGTATCCCTCATTCTATAACCGCATGGAATATATGTCCCACATAAAATTTAAAATTACCTCGCTTTCTTTTACATCGAACGATATATTACATTAAAATTAGCACTTCTAATTGTAAATACAGGGTGTCCCGGAAATGGTGGGCAATCTCTCGGATATGGATCCAGGACACCCTGTTTAAACGTAAAATAACAGAAATGCTATTTTATAAAAAATAAAGATTACCTGCTATTATTCTTCTCAAAATAATGTAAATATGTATTGATTTAAGTGACTTTATCTTACTTCCACCTTGTCTACTGCCCTAGTCAAGTTAATGTGGAAAGTGGAATTTTCGAAATATACGTGCAGGACATATATCTCCCATTTACTCTAATCATTTTATTGAATATGTGAAAACTTAATCTGCATTATTCAGATTTGAATATGTAGTAGCTATCACGTAAAGGAAATTAGAATATACTTATAGAAATACTATCTAATAAATTTAAAACCAGGAAGTAATAATAATAGGTTTTATTTAGATATTGTAACATAAAAATGTATGCATATATGTAAGTCTTGCTTTAAGCTATTCATTTAACAGCAATTTATAGTCATATATTATTTCTAAATATCTGAGTTTCCTTTGATCCAGTCAATATAAGTGGCTACTCTGGTATAAACGACGGGGTGTCCTTGGAAGCAGTTATATTGGGTGAACAAAACTAGACCAATTTGTACGCCATCCAGGGTCAAGGGGGCACCAGCATCCCCATGGCAAGCGCTGTTAGCCTCAGCCAATTGACAAATGTTACTTCCTTCTACAATCATTTGTTTGTACGGTGTATTCTCTTTAATACACTCGCGATAGGATATTATTACGGATTCTATCCATCTCAAAACTGGTTCAAGGAAGTACTGAGCTTGATATGTAGCGCCCCATCCAGACACAGTTGCTACGTCTCCAGCATAATTATCGTCTCCCTCAGCTAGTTTTACTGGTTGTATATTGTCAGCGAATTCCACGGGTTCGCTAAGTTTTATAAGTCCAAGATCCCATTCGTATGCACCAGATTTGTAGCCCTCAGGAATGATGAATTCAGAGGATTCTACCTTCACCTGATTTGGTTCAAGCTCGTCTAGTCGTGGGCCACCGAGAACTACCGTTACCTTTTCTGCTCTGAAATAAATATGATTTTGATGATAAAATGAAATTCATATGTCTAAACAGATTTTTCTACATTACAAAATTTAAATTTAACACTCAAAAGAGGACTAAAGAGGACCTGAGAGAGAGGAGGAACTGTTTTATAAGTTCGAAACGGATAATTGGGAATGGACGGATTTGTTTAAGAGGCTCTAGCTGCACAATTTAGAAATTTGTATTTATTCAATAACTTTCCCCTTTCATTCTCCGTCATTTATTTAGATACCATATTATTAAAATAGAAAACCATATTTAACACAGTATCATGTGTAACATATAATAATGTATTATAATAATACTTAATTCTTTGGTATAACAATACCTATGTGGTACTTACTTAGATAGACAGCGAGCTGAGGTGAGTATGTAGTTTTCAGAAATGAGAGAACCACTGCAAAATGCGTCTGTTTCCCGTTCAACTGCTTCAGAAGAATCGATGTAAATAGCAGCTTGGTAGGGGAACTGGCCATCACGGGCTTCGTAGCCACCAGCAATTCTTCCATCAATCTGTATTAAAGAAATAATGTAAATTTCATGAATTTAGTTGTTTATGTTTAGTTTCCAAATAATATAATACTATAATACCTCCAAATATTAATTTAGAAAAATATTTTGAGCAATGCCTTATTCATCATAAGTTACTTGTTACTTCCTGACAAAGATTGTGAAAATAAAATAAAATTGCAAAAAAATATGAAAGTAACATTTATATAGGTAATAAGGAAAAGTGGTCTAGTATTTTCTTTTACTTTTAATAGATAGATAATATTCAGTAATACTATGTAAGGAAACTAAAATTGACGAGCAAAAACATATTCTTAATATAACTTACTGCAGGGCTGCCTAAGGCCAAATTCAGGCAAGCGACGAGAAATACTACCAACAAATTACGTGCCATTTTGAATGAACAAAGCTTGCGGTTTTATTCACTATGTTGACTGATATATTTGCGATCCCTTTTATACTAAAACTCAATCAAGTGGTTTCTTATGATAACTATCTTTCTTGACATTTTTACTACTGATTTTGTTAATATCCTTGAATTCACACCAAGTGATAGCAAATAAATTGAGGATGACTGCCCCAGTTCACTGTGTCTTTCCTTAAAACCACATTCAGCGTATACATGCCCGGATTATGAAGGAAATGAAAAATATTTCATTATGAGCGTAGATGAAGTTCATCATGAGGTAGATTAATGCGGTGCTATTAGATTTCGGATAAAAAATCGATAACACAACTTTTAGAGTTTGTTCTAAATAATATATTTTTGTTATATTAGTTTCTTCCTTATTATGTTAATGGCTCGAACAGAAATAAATCGGAACACACGGTAGGACAATGTTTTTTTTATTATTAATTTAGGTATCTTTTTTTTGGTAAAGTTGCCAGAGTTATTTCAATTTTTACTATAAACAGTTGTATTGACATTACATCAAAAGTCAAATATTGATGTTATTTTATCTATAAGTATTATTATTAAGTTCACTAGCATTAACGAACTTTAATTCAATTAGGTAAAAGGGCCAGCATCTTCAAAATCGATGATTTTTTAATTTCTTCATTCGTAGGTACCGTCTTCTCGATTCAAACATCATTAAAAAATATAGAGATTTTTAAATAAGTCATAGTTGCAGTACATCTTCATGATGCATTATTTCAAATATAGGTTTTAGTACATTGTCGTGACATTCAACGCCTTCGTTTAAAATGTACATTGTATGTACAGGGTGATTCACAATTAGGCGTAAAAGTTTGAATACAACTTCAGACCAAAACAAATAGACCAGGGCGAATCTGTTTTGAGGTGGATGTGAGAGGGAGCAAGCACATTTTTTCTGGATTAGGTACCTTCAGTACAACTCGCATAATAAAATTGTAGATCCCTAGATCATTGGTACTTTGCGTGTGTAACTTTTTCATCTTTGACTTTTTAACAAATTGGACAGCAAATTCCGTTTTCCCGAACTGTTTTATGTTAAAAAGGTACCCTTGTTTCAAATCGTTATCTTTAACGGTTTCTGAGAAAATCGCTCTTGAATTAATCCCACTTTGGTCAATTTCATAGTAATTTAAACAAAAAATAATAATAATAATTTTCCTTTCCTCTCTTTTCCATTTAAAGGATTAATTTTTATTTAATTTAATTTTTTATTATTATTTTTTTATTAAAATTAGATTAAATTTAAACAAATTATTTTTTTTTGTTTAAATTACTATGAAATTGACCAAAGTGGGATTAATTCAAGAGCGATTTTCTCAGAAACCGTTAAAGATAACGATTTGAAACAAGAGTACCTTTTTAACGTAAAACAGTTCGGGAAAACGGAATTTGCTGTCCAATTTGTTAAAAAGTCAAAGATGAAAAAGTTACACACGCAAAGTACCAAGGGCCCCCCCGTACCCACCCCAATGGACCTTGTGGAAATAAATGGATTAGTCCATCAAATTGCTCATCAAAATTTAGCTGTGTATACCAAATTTCATTCATTTATCACAACGCGATTGAGAGATATTGCAAAAAAATGATTTCCATTCCTCCCTCTTCAATGGGTCCCTGTGCCCTTAGGAAGCATTTCCGGACCCATGTTCATATGAACTTTTTTACTTAGTTTTGATCATAGTATCGGCCTGTTCAGGGTTGGCAGCTAATTATGAGACACCCTGTATACTGTAAGTTAAAAATGTTTAAATTTATTACCGATGTTGCAAAATAGCAATAATTAATGAAAAAAAGGCAGAATAATCAAATTTTTTGGATATATTTTTTAAAATATTTTAATTGCTTCGAGGGCATTCTAATTTTGGTAAAAAAAACATTAGAGTATAATGAAACAACACACCATTACTCAATCAAGTGGCTTCTTATGATAACGATTTTTCTCACTTTAATTCACACCATCACCAAAACGAGTGATAACAAATAGATTGATGATGACAGTCCCAGTTCACTGCGTCTTTCCTCAAAGTCATGTTCAACGTATTATCGAGTAATTTAAAAAATATTTCATTGTGAGGAGTAAGGATAGATTAACGCGGTGCTATTAGATTTCGGATAAAAAAAATCAATAGGTAATACAATTTTTAGAGTTTGTTTTAAATCATATACTTGTGCTTCATTTAGGTATATTTTTTGTGGCGTCTTTCACTTTGTGTTTTTGCTATTGGCCATATTTAGAATTTGAATTTGAGTAGCCAAAATAAGAAAAAAATAGTCTCGGAAACTTTTCAAGAAATGGGCTGTCGATATTTGAAAAAAAATCACATTTTATAGAATGAAAATGATAAAATTTTAACAAACAATACACAAACACAATTTGTTTTCCATGTAGTTTTTTACAGAGTATGATACTCCTCTGTATTTTGACCCTTTGAAGACCTCAGAAAATAGCTCAAAATCAGTGGAAATATCGATTTTTTGTTAAAATAGATAAGATTTTGAAATTAAACAGACGTGATAATAGGGTCAAAATAAAAACTTTCTTTTCCCTGCACTTTTTTCTCTAAAATGCGTCCTTATGGAGTCACAGCCATTTTTAACCAACTTTGAGCATTATTAAAACTCCTATAACTCCTCAAGGATGCATTTTAGAGAAACATGTGCAAGAATAAAAAGTTATCGAGGTGAGGGACTGAATCAAGCATCAAGAACAGAACGATATGAGTGAGTGTCTAGAAATCGTGCACTAGAACGCCTTAAATCAGTACACATACAAATATTATTATACCAATAGCAGAGAGTGGTGGGTGTCACTAGGAGCCCCAGAAATTTGAAGGAAATGAGTATTCTGCAAATTCAATCGTTGCTGCTTGTTACCAATGGAATTGAAAAGAAAAAATATCTCTTCCATTTTGTTAAGAACGAGACGTTTTAGAGTTCTGACTTTTTTATATTAAAGCGAGCTTACAACACCCAAATAACCCTAAAACTATTCGTTCCACAAAAACAGGTTATGTAAAAATTCTTTTAAAAGTTCAATTTTACAATACAATACAATGTGTCAAAAGCTCAAAAAAAACATAGGGGTAAAAATTTTCTACATCTATAGCTCCTGGAAATTTTTGGCCAATGATTTTTTTAACCCATGATCCATTGCGTTGTATTTAAAACTGTATTGTAATAAAAAATGCTCATAAACTGTTTTTGGTGGAACGAATAGTATTGAAGTTATTTTCGATTTATGTAAGCTTATTTTAAAATATAAAAATTTATTCTAAAACGTAAAACAACAATTTGTAAATTCTTTGAGAAAACATTTTAAAATAATATTTTGAGCATTGGGAAGAAATATAGGCAAATTAAGTCCACACCCACCCCTAGGAGGGCGTTAATTCCACAATAATAAACGTTAGAGCAAATCAATGTGAAAAACCATAACCCTGTATTTTATACTATCAAATATATAAATGTAGGCTGGTAGTCTACATACAAAAAATGTAATATAACTTATGCCTCAAAGGGTTGGAAATTACCAACAGATCAGGGTCCCACTTTTAAGTCACATATTTTTCTATTCAATATTTTTGCCTGAATTTTGTTCCCGCGGATTTTTTTGGTCGCTGATTACGAATCTGAAATCCGAATCCGAGAATATTTGAATAAAAGAAGAGTAGATCCTATATGGCGGATGTAAAAATCGAAAAAGCATTCGAAATAGTGGTTTTCAAAGTCGCCAGTCGCAAATATAAGGGTTTCTCATTTGTATACCATTGACAGAGTACCTGCGTTCAAACAAATTTTTACTATTCCTGTTTCACCATTATCAAGTTTATGTTAATTAATATTAAGTTATTTTCCGATTAATTTCTTTCGTGAACTATTATTACAACTCTCTTAAAATTGAAGTGATTTACACTTCTGCTCAATCATTATGGTCGTGTCTGTAAATGTTCTGAATCGCCCTGTATATACCATAAAACTATTTCTGCTACCTACAAAATATATGTAAAGTATAATGAAATATAATGGAAGTTAAGTGTGCGTGTCGTTGTATACCTAAAAGCTTCAGTCTCCCGAGTTAAGTATTTGTTTATACGGGTGATTTTTTTAACATCTCAAATATCTTGAAAATAGCACTGTACGAAAAAAAATCCATAATCAAAATTTAATCATTCTACGGAGGAAATACTTTAGGGCTAAAATTATTCCGTTTCCCCCCTTCCCTCTCCTTGTAGGTGGGGAGGGGGTTAACTTCGAAATCTTAAATAGGAATTCCTATTTTTACTGCCGATTCTACGGCTAAATGTACGTAGGATTTGTCTGTAACATTTTTTTTTCGATTCATGATAGGTGGCGCTGTAATCGACGAAATCTCTTTTTTCTATGCATACGATTCTGCAATACGATTGAAATTAAAAAAAAAACATTATATGTAAATATTCAAAATTCGTCGTCAAAAAAGTTTATTCTGTTTGCAAATTTTGAATAACTGCAAAATTGTTGCCTGTACTTTTTGCATAACTCAGGAACAATGATGTGGATGTAGTAGATTTCGTAATAATGATTTAAAGTCAGTGTGCGGTATAGATGGAAGCGGTTATGCGGTTATGCTGAAATTGAACTCACCCTCAAAAGTTCCTCCTTCACCAATCTAGCGGGTCTTCCAATGAAGCAGATACAGCGGGGCAGCGAGAACAGAACAATGGTGGGAGCGGGCTCTTTCAAGGAGCAGAAACAGCGGGGGGACACTTTTCGATAACTTTTCTTGACGTGTGGGTTTTTGTTCAATTTCAACAATTCAATTTTTTTTTGTTTATGACAACCGCGGATATTGTTATATATTTTCATGCGCTCTAAACATTCTGCCCACCGAAAAATATACATATTTTTCATAAACNTTATTATTATTATTATTATGCTAGTTTTTTTCTACAATCATTGAACCCTTCTAAATAAGTTTACTGAGAAAAAAAATACAATAAATAATTGCCATA